GTTTGCTAATATACTATAGCCCAACGCAAACTACACAGAATATTTTACATTACCTAATCGCAGTGGACTCTTTGAAGTCTTCCCCTTGTCGAAGAAGGTCCTATAAAAATAGGTTTTTGTCCGGATGCACAAACTATACAGCATTCTTTCGCCCTTATATTGTTACTTTGGTCTGATATTTACAGAAAATACTCAGATTTTAGGATTTCCTGTTGGTCTGCCTCTTGATCTTTATATTATGTAAACACCGATTATAATAACATTTGTGAAATAAATATTTAAATTATCGTTCGTGTAAATTTGGAAGATATCCAAAAAAATCGTGCTACGTTCTGGATATATTGGAATTGTGGGAGATAGAACTATATTTATTACGTGTATCGAAAATTTATTGTAACATTTTAGACACTAAAATATTATCTTAGATTTAATCAATGAACTAGCTTATACACGCAACGTCTGTCGCTTCATCTAGAAATATATTAAAGTAAAATGTAAACTGAGAACTCGTATGTATGTTTTACCAAAAAATAACAATTAATAATTGTGTGCTATATATAAAAATTTAATTGTGTAGAAAAAAAAATACTTCTCCTTTCAATTTTATTAAAATAAAATGACTTATCACGTGCTCCGCGGTGAAGGAAAACATCGTGAGGAAACCTGCATATTTTAGAAATAATTACAAAAAAAAATATATATATTTCGAAGATATGAAGTCCGCCAATCCGCAGTGGGGCCGCGTGGTGGACTATGCCCTGATACCCTCTGTATAGCGGAGGCCTTTGCCCAGCAGTGGGACATGTATAGGCTGTTACTTTAAAATGGCTTATTTCAAGACTAAGTTTAAATCGCTAATATAACCAATGAACTTTCATAAAGAAGAACCAACTTGGGGTACTTCATCTTTAGTGTAACCGAAAAAAGGAATTTTTCGGTTACACTAAAGATGTAAGTAACATCAAAGGAAAAGTGGAAAGCAAAGCTAAGAGCTATATTCGATATCTTCAAATGAGCTCTGACTATTATTCTGAGTGCTTTGATATATAAAATTATGTTTATAAATAATATAACTGAATATCGACCGCATTCATGACACCTCCGTGGAACGCTTGAACGATATAACTTATTTGTTCATTTATCAGCACAAAAGTAGATAGTGACAACATCAATTTCAAATTCAAAACTCATGCAGGAAATAAGTAAATTTCCTAAATCTATTAGCCCTAATATAATGATATTAAAGAATTCACACCAGATATAAAGACGATCAGAAATCTAACATTTAAAAAAAGACACTTTTCTCAAGTACGAAAGTATATTTCCTAAAAAAAAAAACGTCCTTAGAAATTAGCGATAAACACAAAATATATAAAGTCCGTTTTTTATATCATGGCATATATTTTACGAAAATATCTGTCTGGAAGAAGAAGGTATGAAAATTAAATAATTGCGTTTATTATTTTTACAATTAAATGCTGCGATAACAGAACGTATTATAATAGGTTTTTCACAAAGCCTTTACGTCGGGTAATATGATGCAAGACACCTGTGCCTATTCAAGTTCTGCTAGCATGTAGGACATTTAAAGCAATTTTCACGATACTCTTCAGCATGATTACTAGCTACAGCCATCTTTGAGCCATGATATCTTCTATTCAATGCTGAGATGTTTGAGAGCTCTGTTGTTGTAACAGAGCTCTCAAACATCTTTGCTATATATATAAAAATATAAGAAATGTCACTAAGCCATGCACTGTAAAATAATATTGAATTTAAGTCACATAATTGATCTTCAATATAAAAGTTAGATAGCTGACTTTTGGCAAGAAATTGCATGAAATTTTACCAAAGTTTATTTTAATTAAATTTCTTTAATCGCGATATAACTTGAAACCGCATGATCTCTCTTAATACTCTTTTGCAATCATAACAGACAGCTTAAGCTAAGTAATTAAAGTAATCCCAGGGTGGATTCTATTTCAAAAGTTCTGTCAAGAAATATGCGATAAGGGTGTTATTATGTTGCCTTCTTTCGCAATCAGACGATTCAAAAATATTAGAATAAAACTTTCTATTGTATTCAATTTCAAAGAAAAATTATATAAAATAGTATAACACCTTGCTTAAAATTATTAAAATCATCAAATATTTAAGTATAATTTTAAAGTAATAAGGTTTTCTGGTAGTGTGTAAGTTAAAAATACTGTGCTTTACGAAAACAATACTGAGTGGGGGGCCACTGACTGCCACGAAGTAATTTTTTCGTTCGTTAAGTATAGACAAGACTTTATAGTATATATTATATTATAGAATATATATCAATACATAATAGATGTCTGACGTAAGTATAATAGAGGGCCACAGCCACAATAAAAGTTTTCTTGAAACTCTCATTAAATATATTTAATTTAAATCAATATATCTCATACATAAAAATGCGTTTTGATGGCTTCCGGTTAAAATTCCATTTTTATTTAAAGAGAACATTTAATGCCACTTGTAAAATGGCAATAATCGTTAAAAATAATTCACCTACAGAATAACAATCAAGGTTTGAATAAGCAAAGTGAAGCACTTATTTTGGCTTTTGTACGTTGTGCTTTTGTTCCGAGACAAAAGAGTCGACAGTTGTATAACAATCGCACATTATTTTTGTTTACAAGACATATTTCTAAACGTCTGAATAAAGTCTATACAGAAAAGTGTAGTGAAAACCGTTAAAACATGATAATACTTTAAGATTTTCTTATTCAATACTAAGAAAGTATCCATTTTTTAAACCATCATGGCATTTTATTTATCTTATTTAATACTTCAATTATGATGATTCATGTCGGTAAATATCGTATACGATATATGAATTGATTCACACAATAAAACAGAAAGTCGGAAAACTTTCTAAAGCAAGCCACTAGTTCCATTCCCATCCTTAAAGTCGTCGCGTCGAATACCCCATAGGCAACGACAAATATATCTTTCTTGCTCTCGCTCTTCTTCTCAGTTTTGGCTTTAGACTCAATGAGATGGCCAAAATGTGGCTTTTGCTAATTGTATCGTGTATAATATTGTCACGATCAGGGGTTTTTTCACGTTTTTAATGTCAATGACCTGCGATGACAGTCACGAATGATGTAGATGATTAAATTGTAGTACTGTAGAGTGAGAGAAAATTCTTGTTCCGGGATAAACAAAGGAATCTACAATTGAAGGAAAGTAACCAACATAGCACAGAACATTAGCAAGCTGAAGTGGCGATGAGTAGGCCATATAGGTCGTAGAATCGATAACCGATGGGCAAGTAAGGTTCTTGAGTGACAGCCTCGTACTGGCCATCGCAGTATAGGACGACTCTCACTAGATGGAGCAATAACCTATGCATATGTGCGGGAAGTCGATGGATGCAGGTGGCTCAGCATCATGCTTCGCGGCATTCTTTGGGGGAGGCTTATGTTCAACAGTGGACTCAAACAGTCTGAAATGATGATGGTGACGATAGTTATGGGAATTTATATTAAAGAGAAATAGAAAATTTGGGTCCTGATTCCAGAGAATTCTAGTAAAAAGACGAACGAAATGTAAATCGCTTCTAGAATGTTTTAGCCGGAAAGACGAAATTCCGACTTTAACAGGGTCTTGGAGAGCGCTAGACAAGCCGTTGAAGAAATCTAAGCAGAAGGTAGAAAAGAGGTAGAGCAGAAGGTAGAAAAGTGACAAGTGTAAAGGCGCACGCGGAGTAATGGTGCGGTAACACCTGTGGAAGGGTACGTGAAGATTGATGCGAGAACGAGACGGCGTAGCACTGATAGTCGCGTCACTGGAGTATTCGTGCATCAGGAGAGAGTTATCGCACCTGTAGAATAAGTGCGGATTTGAGCGGTATCGAGAGTGCCGCTGTGCATGTTTGTGGCGTTAATAAATTAAACATTTAAACGACTACGTCGTACTAGTATTTAAGACAAAGGGAGGAAAAAAATAAACGGAAGTAAACGTATTCCGCAACATGTTATGGATTATAATTATCATTAATTATCGCACAAACGAAAGCTGCCCGTTCAACTTCTAAAGGTGACAAGTTAAAATTACATGAAAACGCCGTTTTAGTGTAAATAGTAGTTTAACTATGCTCCGTCACGCAACACGATTTCCATTTTTGTGAAATAATCATGCGCCAAGTAAAAAACTCTCCTTTATGTTTATAACATTGGTTGCGTTTTCATGTTTTCATTGTTTTATACGAATATTTATTTTCTGCACATGTCATTTTGTTTCTCCCTCCACATAATAAAACATATACCTTCAGTTTAGAAAATTTGATTTATGTCACACTGCCAACTGGTATCGTAGCGATTTGTCTTAACATTATAATTAACTAGGGTCAGTGCTTTTTTTATTCCGAAAAAATATAATTTTTGTCTTTGAATAGATCTAGAATTGACATTTCTGGGTGATCTTATATTTGATATAAGAAGCAATACACTGCAAATGTCTTTTCGGGCTGCAAGTTAGTGTGTGAAAGGTTGCATGTGCACTCATCTGGACTTCCGCTGGTTTGTTTACATCACTATAGTTTATATCGTAGTACAAAACGACTTCATTTTCCGACTTAGAGTGCACATGCGAAAGGAATGAATGATAGGGTAGAATGCCCGTCAAACCGGATATTTGCATAGTTATATAACAATTAGCCAATCACAAGCGCTTATTGCGTTCCGAGTTCCGGTGCGGACAATACTATACTAACGACCTTTTTTGACTTCGCACAATTGCAATTCAGTTTTTACAGTTATTCTCTCAGGTAAGTATGTACGTGTAGTGACTGCCATAGCTAGTTTATAAAACTATGGGTGCCCTACCGGGTTATTAATTTAAACACGGTGTACTGGACACTCATAAACTATATTTTCAATAAATATAGACACACGTTAACAAACGAATTAAATGGTGGAAGACACAGCACAGAAGTTAGATAAAGCGAAGGCGACAGAAAAGAATACTTAAAACAGACAAAGGAAATTATTTAAGCAATTGCGCGAGCGTATAGCGGGCCGTACTGATTGGAAATCGAGCGTGCATTCGCCGAGGTGTAGTGCAGCCGACTGATGTTCCCTGCGTCCGCGCCGCTGGTCGTCGCGTGGATCGTGTGCACGTACATTCCAACGAGCAGCTATACAGCGCACCATCGAAGTTCGCGCGCTTCGCTTGCGCCCCGGTTCCACTCGCTCGTCATCAATATTTTGTGGTCCCTACAAAACTATATATGATAAAGTATTCCATTATCTTTGTTAAACATTTGAAAGATAAAATTAGTGCCCTTGAATTTTAGACGTTGTACTTCTTTTGGTGCGTTTGGAATAAAAATAAGAGAGTAAAGTTTTTACGATGCGCAAAAGCGTTATGATGAAATGAACTTCTTATGCGCGTACGTAAGTTCACACACTTTTTTTCAGCTACTTAAGGATAATTCTTTGTGTGACTTAACAATTGACATACATTGGATGATTACTGGCGGGGAAGGTCATATTCAGAGTACATATGCATACACACATATATGGTCTAGTGCCTTTGGAATAATGTACCCTACGGGGTAATTTAAAAAAATCATTACATGACACGCAATGTTTTTTTTTTATTGGTACAGGATTACCTTTTACCGCACAAACACAGTAAGAAAGCTTGCACATTTTTATAAAAATATGTAAGTATAGACTTGTCATCCAATTATTTTGAGTACGAAGAAGATTGTTAAAAACAGTATTCAATTCCTACATTAAGCGTCAATAATTTTATAAAAACTTCACTATTTGCGAGAGAAATTCAAGTGATATCGAAGAATATCGAAGGAATAATCCTATTCACCAAGTCACGCACAATGGCTATCATTTCCAACGGCTACTGAAATCGCAGTAGCATTGAGCATCCGTCGAAGATCACAAATCAAAGTTTTATCGCTCGAGTCCGGCGCAGGAATCCATGTATCATAAGTGGGGCATCGATCCGGTACCGGCTGCGATTTATTACCTCGGGCCCTCGAATGAAAATGATGGCAGTTTGAGCCTGGAATCGGCCATTGAATACTTTTAGTAAAACAAAGATTTTAACAACAGCAAAATTTGGTTTTTTGGAGAATCCAAACTACACTTAATAATTTGTCTGAATATGAGCATGCAATGCAGCAACGAACGTCAGCGCATTGCAATTTGATTACAGACAGTTACAAATTCTATTCTTCAATAGGTGCCCAATTTCATTTTTTTAAACCTAAGCCGAAATTCAATAAAGGAAATAAACTACTTCTACTTTTATTTTAAACAATTAATAATACATACGGCTTTAAAAATACATATTTATATATGGTCATAATTACATTAAATAATTATAATTATGTTAATAATAATTTTATTAAATAAGACTCTTCTAGTAACTTCATATCTTTAACGAAACATCACCAACGGTACTCACTCTTGTAAAGGCAGAATAATACATAAAACCTACTTATAGCTTCACCAAAATTGATGGCAGATTGATACCTCCGTTGAAAACTGTAAAAAAATCCTGAATGTTTTGTAAAAAAAAACGAAATATTTAAAAATTTTTTTCAGTTTTACTTTCGCCTGTTTAACTTTATCAATTAATTAAAGTTCAAAAGAAGTTTCATGACATATTTTATCATATATATAGCTATATATGTATCATATATATGGCATATAGCTGTAACTATACATTACGTCTTAATTTTTAATAAGTCATTAACAACACCCAGTTTCCGAAAGCGCAATCAATTTTAATTTACGATAAATCTCTCGTCAATCGTTGTTTAACATGATCTGAGTTGGTAGAACATCTTAAACAACATTGATTTTGATTTGCAATTAGTCACTTATTAACAGACAATCAACAGAAAATCGAGTTTCTGAAAGCGTTTTTCGGTGGTCAAAGAGATGGCAAAAGTTTTAATAAGTAATCTGTCAATTTGGACGATCAATCGTTGGTCAAAAATGTTATTTATCAAAAATCTTAGTTTTAATTAAAAATAAACATAATTCGCTAATACGTTGTTAGGACATTCATGTGTTCTATTACCTATTTATTATTTATTATTATGCGAACATATCATGTCATTAGAAAAAATACAAAATGCAATTCAAAAGTTAATAAATAATATAGATTCTTTCTTTTTATAATACTTACTTGTTTATTATGGATAAAAGTTGATTTTTTTCACGTTCTGTAAAGTTTTTTTTTTTTTACATTTTGCATGTATTTATATAAATTAAATTTTATTATAGCTCGGATTTTTACGTTGGCAATCACACGGTGACAGGACTGGATAGTGACGTCAATTTAAGTTTTGTTTAAAAAGGGACAGCTATATACAATAGAAAGAGTTAGTTGAAGTAAATCATTCATTTCATTCATTATCATTGGTTATACAGTGATTAGCTAATTTTTCTTGAACAAACCTTCCAGAAACCCAAGGCAGTTTAACAAGAGATTAACAGCTGATCATTTTTGACATAGTGTTATGTGATTGCTGCTTTGATTGGCCTTTCGGAAACTGGGCATTATTCTAACATTATTTAAACTACATTTATTTAAATCTTTCTACTAAAAATCAAACAACCAAGAATCGTCCAATGCAAAAAAAAATATTTCGAAATTTCAAAATTTCGAAAGTACCACTTTATATAGCAAGCCGAAGGCCTACAAGCTATACACATATACGAGTCATTATTTTAATATAACGATGACTACATTGTTAAAGCAATTCCTTAGACATGTTGATAGCCATGCAGTCAAATTTAATGGTGATAACGCCACTGTCTAATACTGATGATAGCCCAAGCCATTCCATTTATAGCCAGGCTTACTACGATTACTAGTTATGTAAATGATTCCTCGATTTACTTATGAAATATTCCTTATTTTACTTAAGACTGACTTTTATATCAAATTAAATTAATATTTCAATATTTTGGTCAAGGATTTTGCTGTATCCATGGTTCCAGAATATCTGGATTTACAAGTCTTTATAACATATTTATTTTATGTTTTTCTTTTACGTATTCTATATTGCTTGGCTAGTTTTGTAAAATTTAGCCATTAATCTTTGTCTTATAGAATTTTGACGTAAGTTTTATGGAGCTATGTCAAATACCTATCGCTAGAAACAAAATCTTTCTGTACATAGAATATTGAAACCGGTTGTAAGTACCGAAATAAATGTTTTATTACGTATTTAACGAAGCTTAAAGAAAAACATATGATAGGGTTGTCTATAAATACTTACTCGTTAGAAAACGCTCGCAAAATGGTTTTTATATAATAGTGACCTTTTGAATAGGGTGACGAAGAAAATAAAGGTTTTCCATTATCAATGAATGAAAGTGAAACAATGAACAGTGAAAGTGTGGTGGGCTGGTCTCGAATGCAGGAAATGCTTAATTAAGCGGCAGGCATAATGAGGCAATGACGTTAGTAATACGAGTACAGTGACATATATTACATTAGTCGTCGTTGCTTATAGGATTAGATCGTCTTGTGTTTATACTGGTCCATTTTTACTTCACTCTGTTAAGCATAATTTTAACTATATCGCAATACATCTGTGATCCAGGCGTGGCGAAAGGATATCCGTTATAAACCATATTTTGTCAAAGATGGCCGGATGTTTTATTTTTTTAACTTCAAAAAACGTAAGTAGCAAATGAATAGATTTATAAATTATACTTTTACTCATGAATAGATTTACTTATCGTGCAAACATAATTCGTTATTTGCAAGTCGTTAATGGTGTCCCTTACAAGGAAAAAGTGCGGGTTTACGTTTTGGAAATAAAACACCACTTGTTACGTTTACTTAGACAGGTGATAGCTGAAACGGGATATTGTAGATTTATGGCACAAAAAAGTCCCCCACGCTAACCCCAGGTAATATTTTGTTACAACCCGACGATCCGAATGGCGTAGTGGGTAGTGTACCTGCCTCCTGTGCCAGAGGGTGTGGGTTCGATCCCCATTACTGGAAAAATATTGTGTGATGAACATAGTGTTTTTCTAGTGTCTGGGTGTTTATATATGCATAATATGTATTTATTTACAAAAGTGGAGTTTTATATATAAGATCGTACGCCATGTATTGAAAATTCGATCCTAAAGATTTTATCGAGTTCACACACTCTTTATTGTTCTTAATTAAGGTGGACTAACAGTAGCATCCTTTTGAAATTATTAACCTTTTCTCTTATTGGATGTTTGGATGGTGCAAAATTTATTACTGTGCCATGTTTTATTAGGCTGGTAATACGTTTCATTCAAACACGTGTCATAAAGTTTAAAACCCCGATTCCTAATTTAACTTTTAACCAATTCGAGCGAATACGGTTAAAATTTGTTAAAAAACCCTAGAGATTTATCTATAATTTATAAGATCAAAAGTTACATACTAGCTAAAATGCTTTTAGTTATTAAAATTAAATTTTGGAAAAAAGTTTCAGAATTTCTCAAATACTTTTGGCCGCTTCGTTTATTGATTTTACCAGAATACTAGAATAATATTTATTTCAAAGTCAAAAACCCGAACAAATTTTCTTTATGGAAATTTTGATGATTATTTGATTCAATAGCCTGCGGCCCCCTAAGAAGCTGACTCAATTTTTACCATCTATCAAGTATTAATATCCCTATTCAAGATCTAGGAGTGTACAGTTTTACTGCGAATGAGGGTTCTCATTAATAAAGACCAAATCATAATAATAGTTTGATTTAATCATGGCAAAAATAGTCAAAATCTTTCGGCTCTAACATAATTCGCTGTCCTTTGGATATGATACGCTCTAGGCACCTGGGCTTTCGCTTTAGCGCCTGATACAGTCATCTTCCCCTTCAAGGCACAACAGCCGAATTTACCGAATTCATTTTAAAATACGATTGAATTTATTGATGGAATGCTTGTTCTCTTATCGTTATTACATTAATGAAGTTTTGCCTAACAGCTTAGTAATAAACTTTTTATAAATAATTTTAGTTCGTAGTGGAACGCGAAACCGCGGTAAATTTTTAACGATGCGCCCATTTATTTGTAACTTTACGTGTAAGGACATTTAACGTGTAGTGTAGGCCCTCCGAGAGCCATTTGAGAATTGGCTGAAGCCACCAGTTGCTTTGGGTTGGTGCTAAAACTATCAGTGGACTTTATCTTAATGTGAAATAACGAAATTATACATACAATTAACGTCTCGTCTATAAAACGTTTGTACGTTTTAACTACATGTTTATAAAATAGTTAAGATAGAAAGAATTTTAGTTTCTAGAAACAAAATTTCTCAAATCTACTGCTACACATTTTTTACTAAATTTTCGTTAAGTGGAAGTGTTATACTGCGTTTCGTCTGGTGAGTGAGGTAGCCAGGGCCCGCTTTGTTATAAGGTGTCAACGTATCTGCAAGCCTATGGGTGTTGCAAATGTCAATAGGCGGCGGTTATCACTTAACATCAGGTTAACCGCCAGCTCTCTTGTCACTTTCTCAAATAAAAAAATGTCTCGAGCACAGGCGCAGGGTGACCAAACTCTACATAACACAAAGTAATTTCCCTTTCCCGATAATTATCAGGCTACACGTTCGGCGTTTGGTAACAAATAAATAGATTTTATTTGTTATCAAACCTCCATTACTTTGTTAATATTCCATCCAGGCATTGATTATATTACAATATTTTGGCATGTGTCAAATAAACGATTCGGATATATCCCAAGGCTGTACAGAGGAAATATAATTTTTTACCGTTTACCATCTACGGCTACATTGTTAATCTATCAGACAGATTTGCGGTCCACTTGGCATTTACTGAGAAACTAGGCAGTGGCGCCTTGTCGGCAGAGTCCCCTCAATACTTACTTTTTTAACCGACTTCTAAAGGAGGAGGTTCTCAATTTGACTGTATTTTTTATGTTTATTACCTCCGAACTTTTGACTGACTGACTGATTTTGATGATTCTTTTTTATTTGCAAGCTGGTGCTTCCAATGTGGTCCCATATTAATTTCATTGGTATTGGATCTTGGGCTCCGGCGATACTTACTCCTGAAACTAACAATTATATAATAACTACAGAGCGAGATATTTGAAGTCGGTTTTGTTTTTCGTTAGTAATAATGGACTTATTTTTATATGCTTTTTGCTTTCTGCCCATAGTTTTTAAGTATAATCTTAGCACCGTGACAAATATAAAGAATTTGGGATAAGAATACATAATATAGGGTTCAAATCGAAAAAAGAGTAGTAAGTATTGCGATGTCAATAATATCAGTAACCATGCTTTCAATACAAAGACTGCAGTTGATCATCTAAGAAACGATTTATTAGAATCTGAGATTTATAACGATGGTTAGTAAGATTTTATCAATAGTTACTTTTCTATTGTTTTATTAATAACACGAAACACCCAACTGATTTGTGCTAATTTGTATAAAACATAAAAGAACGAAAGTATGATGCTTAAAGAAATAAACATGACATGCGATCTTCAAGGGAAATGTAAGTGTGTCATGACCTTTTATTCAGCGCTAATGATGTGATAGCGTATTGCATAAATATACTATTGTGCTCCATAAAGTAATAATAAAATTATTTTCATATTCAGCTGCCCCGCGACTTCGTCTGTGAGATCATATTAACAACTATACAGCTTGTCCTTTTAAGCCACTGCAGAAAAACACATCTTTGAACACGAAGTGCTTATAAAAATCATTTTTTCGTAAAACTTTTATAACTTTAGTTCACATGAAGACATCACATTATATGTTTTTTAGGTAAGAGACAAGTATTGAATAAATAAAACTAAGAAGAATTAATTAAAATCTATGCAGTATTTCCCCGTGATGCACGTGCCGCGGCAGACATTTATCATTTTTATTTATTTGTTTAAATAGATCATCCAGTGTGGTGTAAGGCAGAGAATGGAAACTTTCCGTAAATTTTTGGTTTATATATTTCATTTAATTTGCCCCAAAAAAGGGTTAAGTTTTTACAAAGGCTGATGTAGACATTATAGAACGAAAGTTATATTAGCAGTTTTTGTGGAAACGAATATCTTTAACTGAATACTTCCCGTGGTCAACATACGAGCTGTAACTTTTGTATTAACCAGCTAATAACTTTTGTATTAATCAGGTAGTGTGATTTGTAATTATTGCCATACTACGAATTTTATTACTGTAAGCAACCAAAACTGAAGCCTAACTGATAATAATGACATGTAGGTATCTATCATAGTGGAAATTGTAGGTATATTACTAACAGAAAATGTTCAAGAGAATGACAATAAACAATTATTTACGGTTCAGCTTTTTAGGAAAGCAATCAAGATTGATGCAGAGACACGAAAGTTATACGTATTTTATTTTAAATAAAGCGAAATTATGCAGAATTTAATTAGCGCTGTTGGGACCAGTTTATAAAGTCAACCATAGCTTGGCGGTCTTAATTAATAAAGTTAGCAAAACATCGAATGCACAAAAGTGACGACGGATGATAAATAAAATACAAACGAGAATTAAAAACTGGGTTAAGATTTCATTGAATTTTGATTAGAGTGTTTTTGTTTCATCACTTCATAGATCAAGGCGAATGACAAAGATTACAGAGAGTATATAGAAATAGCAGTTGGCTGGCGAGGTCACTGCAAAGTTTGACCAATTTTGGGTACAATGGACCGTGAAAGCCGATTGTTCACGAAGCTTAAGCATACACTATACATATGCGGCATGAGATTTATTTAAGAGATCCGATATTTGTTTTTATAGTTGGCAATTGGATTTATTGACAGTGAATGAATAAAATAAATTAACTATAACGTTACTCGCGTCCTAAATTTAGCACTGAATATTTTGATTATATTACACAAAACTAAAATATATTGATTAAGACTATATTGTATTGTGTGGCTTCTTGTCCATAATGTTATTGCCAGAACATCAAGTTATATTAAAAATTCGGGTACCTTTGGAGAAACCATGGTTCTAGGGAGACAGCGACGACCATTACAAAATATTACATTAACATAGACAGTTTTATCCTCAACATCCTGTGAATTGAGTTTCATATCGAAAGCGGTAGACGGGGAAGGGCTGTTGAAAAATTAACGACATCGGAACAATACTATTGCCACAGACTAAATTACGACGCGATATCGCTGCGGCAAGTGGATGGGAAATCAAAAGAGAGCGAATAACAATACATGCTCAATGAGTCTGCCCGTTTTGCTTCTTTTACGCTATATTTCGACCCTCGAATATAGGAAACAATGATGTTTTCCAATTTTCAACTCACTTTACTTTTGCTCATTTAGGACTTTTCTATGGTGGGTATTGTGTGACTCGTCTATTGTAAACCGAGTTATCATTTAAGGGTTCTACGATTGTTTAATTTTAAGTATTTATGTTTCACTTTTTAACCCCGTAAATTCGAGTGTCTCAAAACAGTATTATAATTATTGGTATGTTGACTGCGAGTCAACATACCATTAATTATAATAATGTTCTGTACTTTACTATACTGTACTGTACTGTTAAATTTGGTTCGGTCGCCAGTACCTTTTATATTTCTTGACCTTTTTACTTAACATTTTTAAGGACTGAAGATCTAAATCCAAAATTTATTTACTTTCATTATGTTAAAAATATTTTTCTATTTTTTATTTTGAACTGGCCAGCACTTGACTGCCATCCCACCTGATGGTAAGTGGCGATGCAGCCTTTGATGGTAAGCGCGCTAGCTCAGTAAAAACCTATTCACTCTTGCCTTGAAGACGCTTACGTTGTAATCGGATACAACGTAGGCGTACATAAGGCGTACAATAATGAAACTACGTACAAATTTTTTACCTATATTTTAATTCTGCGACCGCCTCAGGTGGGTGCTAGATCCGGGCACGTTTCCCGCAAACGTAGCTACTAATCCCTAAGCGCCGATAAAAATGTTTTGCCTTTTTAACTTGCATTTAAATATCATCGTAATCAAAACAAGTGCAAAACAAGTGCAGAGAAAGAAGTGCAGAAGTTGATATTGCTGTATTTCAATAGCAAGGACAACTCCTCTCATTCAATCGCTAAAACGGCAAAATTCAAAAGATAGCTGTTGACATTTTGTCGCTATTAGGACGTCGGCCGCTTAGCTCAATTGGCTAGAGCATGTGGGCGAATTTGTGCGGAACGGTAGGGGACGAATTTTGCACCCCTGAAAAAAAAAAAAGTTATGAGAGCTGACAGACTATTAATTAATAATTTTCATAGTGTTCAGATTCTATCTTCGAAAAAATATTTATTGCTTTTCAGCTGACTTCTAAAAGGAGAAGATTTTCAATTCATTTGTTTTATTTTATGTGTGTGTATCTCAAAACTCTGACTTCTATCTATTTTAAAATTACTTTGTGTGGGTTCACTTTAGCTTCCATGTGGTCCCATATCAATTTAATTAGTATTTGATCTTAAATTCCAACGATACATCAGGGAAAAAGTCAAAAACAAATAGAAAATGTATAGGAAGCGAGATATTAGATGTCGGTTTTGTTTTAAATGTTTTACTTTTAGATACGCATTCCAACACTTGCATGTAAGCAAAACTCTTATGTCAAGTTATATCGAATAAAGAGATATCAAACATTAAAATAACAGCCTATATATGCCCCACTTCTAGGAAAAAGCCTCCTCTATGTATAGGGCATTATTGCATAGTCCACCACGCGAGACCCTTGCGGATTGGTGGATTTGACGTATATTGAAAATATTTTTTTGTTATCATTTCTAAAATATGCAAGTTTTCTCCATGATCTTTATACCCTGACCGCCGAGCGAACGATAAGAGAGCACTTTGGATTACTTTTATTTAATTGAAGTTATTAATTTTAAGTTTTTTTTTCACAAGAGAAAAGTCAACCTCAGGAATAACCAACTTGAGGGTCTTTTTCTCCAGCGGTCGAAAGTTATGTTTGACGAAAACTTGCACCGACAAGGGGCATTGTGGCCAAGGCGGAAACGTGAAAATTGGACGGGTTTCATTGTGTTTCGAAACAAAATTATGCAGAATTTAATTAGTACTGTAGGGTGAGTTTCGCGGTCCAGCTTTTCAGGAGTCATAATTAATGAACTAAACGGAAAACTCTTCAGAAACTGACCACGGTACGACTGAAGTCAATGACAAATATTTTTGATGTGAAACATCTATAGCCGCACGTAAGATGGTATATATATATATATATATATATATGTATATACATATATATATATATATATATATAGTAATATATATGTATATACATATAGACTGTATATATATATATATATGTATATATATATATATATATATATATATATATATATATATATATATAGTCTATATGTCCCGCTGCTGGGCAAAGGCCTCCTCTATACAGAGGGTATCAGGGCGAAATATATTTTTTTTTGTTATTATTTCGAAAATATGCAGGTTTCCTCATGATGTTTTCCTTCACCGCGGAGCACGTGATAAGTCAGCACTTAAAGTTAAAAACTTCATTGGTGCCGGCACCGTGGATCGAACTCAGGTTGCTCGAGTATATTGAATTAAAGGCGAGCGCCCGGACACTGAGCTATCACGGCTCTTGATTTTTCTCTATTTTTGACTAACCCGTTATTAAATGCGAAATATGTTTCTTATTCCCGTCAGAATAACCAAGTGGTGGTTCTAGTTCTATACCGGACCTAGTATCGCCAGTATCGAAGACCAAATATTATCGGAAATTTTCTAAATTTGATTTAATGCTGAAACATCAAACATGATCAATTTATATATATTTTTTATGTGAGAAAGTGGCAAAAGAGCAGGTTGTTCACCTGATGTTAAGTGATAACCGCCAGCCCATGGATATTTGAAACACCCTTAGGGTTACAGATACGTTGCCACCTATTAATAATGTGGGCCGCGGCTAATTCACTCACCAGACGAAACACAGAAGTGAAACACTTCTACTTTACGCCGGTCTTCTGTGAGGTCCTGGTAGTAGCCCGGACGGACCTGCCCATTCAGCGAACACTGTTGCGTGGCCCTAGCACCGTAAAACCATATTGAGGTCCTTGTTAGTATTTGGCGATATAATCAGATATGTTTCAGTAGCTTTAAGCAACCGTATTCAATCTGCCTTAGGAAACATTAAAAACATCAAAGTTAAAACTTCAAATAAATATTACTGCATATAACGGTCTTGGCATTAAATTAATTACTCTCCTTTTACGAAAAGGGGCACAAAAGAATGTTTCGGGATGTTTGCTCTACCAAAAGTGACCCGTTAGGCGCGATGCCAACAAACAGTTACGGACAGAATTTTATCAAATGCAAGTGGATGGAATAACTTTTGGATAAGCTGAAATTATTTCAAATGGTTTTGTACTTAAATGAAATAAATACAATATTATGTACTTTATATCGTTTTTCATTTATTTGTTTATTCTTTATTTAAATTACCTTAAACAAGGATAAAAAAGGACGAACTTAAAATTTGAAATTCTCTCTCAGTTATTCACAGGCGTGGTGAAAAATCATTGTAGGAGTAATCATCATCAATTATTAAATTAAATTATTTATATATATATATTGACAATATTATACACGCATATAACTACACACAAACATACATAAATGTGTATATAATCATACAAACGGTAGTAGCACAACGATAACATCATCATTCTAGGTTACAAGCCCATATTTTTATTAACGAAAAACAAAACCGACTTCAAATATCTCGCTCTGTATTTATTTTCTAATTGACTAGCGACCCGCCCCGGCTACGCACGGGTGCAATGTATTATACATATAAACCTTCCTCTTGAATTACTCTATCTAGTAAAAAAACCGCATCAAGATCCGATGCGTAGTTTTAAAGATCTTAGCATACTTAGGGATAGACAGACAGTGGGATGACATTGTTTTATACTATGTAGTGATTTTCAGGAGTTAATTATCTCCGGAGCCCAAGATTCAACCAATGAAATTAATTTGGGAATACATGGGAAGCACCAGCTTTCAAATAAAAAAAGAATCATCAAAATCGGTTCTGTCAGTTGAAAGTTCCGAGGTAACACATAAAAAAACACAGTCTAATTGAGAACCTCCTCCTTTTTTGAAATCGGTTGAAAATGGGTCATTTAAGTATAAATCACAGAAGTATGTCATGCAAGGACTTCCAAAGCAGTGCAGCCTGAACAGTGAAAGAATTACCGTATAAACTGGTATTGTTAGAAGGTATATTAGTAATTTGTAAGTTAAATGATGTAGTATTTAAATTTACCTTCAAGATAACACGGAGAAGTTGGATCTTTTAAAATAGAGAAAAGAAAAAGCCGAGTTCTTAAGTTACGCCTTTAACGGCTCACAGTTTTTGACTGTATTGATTACTGTCCGTTTTTTATTACTGTACTGAATAGACGAGAGGGATAGGGAGTTTCATCACATTTTTAAAGGCCAAACATATATCTAATGCAGCTTTATGTACCAATCAATCAAAAGGTGGTCCTGAAAAGTTTAGTAGGTAAGTTTTATTATAATTAAAAAATTGAATCATTAAATAATCTAATTGGGGATTTCGACATAATATACTATACTGGTCATATTTAAAAATATCAGATATTGGTATTGTATCTAATCTATTGTAAGAGACATTTATTTAAAGCGAATATTTATCTAATCGAGTATTTTTGACAGTTTTTGTGAATCTTGTTTTACAAATCGAGTAGAACATTCCAGACCTCTGTGTTGTTTATTCAAACAACAACAAAGGCTGCGCTGTAGAGCGTATCACACAGCGAATACGTTGGAATTGGGCATTTTGAAATATGTATTAAAAATCTAAGGGATCGATTTATTGAAATTATTAAACCTTTTTGTTACTGTTATTACGTTATTTATAAGAATGATTATATTAGACAGATTTCATAAAAAGTATTATTTAAATAAAGATTAGTTTTATATAAAACATTCGTA